AAAAAAAAACTGAGCAGTAGTTAGGAAAGGGAAATGCTCTTATCATGATATAATTCATGACTATTATATGTCAAATTAAGTGTTTTTTCAAGCATTTATCAAGCAGATATACATTATTGCAAGAAACGTAAAATGTTCACATACAACAGAATTTGAACATACATCGCACAACTGCAAACCAAGATACTTACCACTGCACCATCCCAGCACACAGCACTGTTACCCAAGTACGCCGTATTGTAGGTTGCCTCATGGAAACAAGTGCCCATATCTTCTTCCAGAAAACAGTTTCGCGGATATGGGAGACGGATTTGAGTTTCCCATACCCAAATGGCTATTATGGAATATATCTTGTTTTTATGGCCACTTCGAGTAAAAAGCATTCTTGTTAGATTCGAGATCAGAACAAATGCGAAAAGAGTTGGTTTTTGGTGGTTATACTCATGCATAGGCGCAAAACGTTTTGAAATGATAGACGTAGCTGGATGTTAGCTGCCAAACATGCGCTCCAAGCTGTATATTGAATTAACCTTCAAATTTATACAACATGCAGAGCAACAATTGCGCACGGCCTATGATGTTTTGAGATAGAAGAATTAATTTTTCTACTGAAAAACGAACCTGATTTGGGATTGGGGAATGTCGATTTTCTAGGGATGAACTGTTCAAAGAAATTTGCAGCTCTTGCCCCTCTTTTTGCCCTATCTGGCGATCTCGTCACGCAAGTTGTAGTGGAACGCGGCCCTCTGGTTACGCAAGTAGTAGTGGAGGGTGGTCCTCTGGTTACGCAAGTAGTAGTGGAGGGTGGTCCTCTGGTCACGCAAGTAGTGGTGGAAGGTGGCCCTCTGGTCACGCAAGTAGTGGTGGAAGGTGGCCCTCTGGTTACGCAAGTAGTAGTGGACGGTGGTCCTCTGGTTACGCAAGTAGTTGTTGGTTTCGTCGTGCTCTCTGTACTGGTTGATTCGGCAACTGTCGTGGCAAGCGCTGTAGTGGGTGTATTTGTTGCAGTGGGTGTAGATGTTGTAGTAGGTG